AAGGCCATCTTGGCCAGTGGCCAAAATGTCGATTCCAATAAGCTCATCACGTATTTTTTCTGGCTCTAGAACTGGACCTCTTTTGATTTTTAAAATCAAACTGACAGGCTGGGCATTTGTTTTTGGGAAAATATATAAAATACTGCGGAAATTATCATAGCAAAAAAAAGGAGAGGATATATATCAGATGGTTGGAAGACTTGTAGGATTTTTTGTAGGATGGCCTGCAGCTTGAAGCCAATCAGGATTTTAAAAAGGGCGAGTACCGCGATACACAGCCTCTGAAATGGAGGCAGACATGCATGGCGGCATTTCCGGTTGCTTGGCACCATTAGTGCAGCTCACTGCCACGCCCCCTACCCAAGCCATAGTCCTGCCCCAGCCTTTCTTCGTCTTTGGCTTTTTGTTGAGATAAGCAGTTTTGCCATTTGTCCGTGCAACTTTTTCCCAAAAAGCTTTCCTAGAAGTAAAAACTTGTTTTCTGCCCAAAAAGAAAAGCCGGCAGAAGGGAGAGGAGGGGTGGGGGGATCGGGTATTTGACATGTGTTTGCTGCAGGACCTCAGCTCTCAGGACCTCCTCGCCAGACTCCCCACATAAGCCGTGTGGCTAAGAACTTGCCAAGTTTTTCGGCGTCTCTAAGCTCTGTGTTGGCCAAAAGTATATTCATTATTTTGTTTTCATTTTCCCCCAGCAACCCCGAGAGCGAAGTTTTCAATTGAATTTTATTGTATCTCTTTGGAATTTAGTCAAAAAATAATACTCTTCTTTATCTCGTCTCTTGAAATAGATTTTTATAGTGCCTAGTAGTGCCAGAAAAAAAAATAAAAATAAAGTACTTAAGACCCATTTTGCAGAGGCCTTTTAGTGGCTGCATTTAAAAAAGTGCGGTTTGCGGTTTTTATGTCGATTCTCGACCCCCAATCGAATTAAGTTTAATGTGTGCTTATTTATTTTTATGGCTCTTACCTGAGTTGAGTTTAAGAAAATTGTTAGAGCCCGCATGCTATTTAGCCTTATTTTTGGCGCCCCAAATGACCAAAACCCTACACACAGACCACAGACTCCTCCTTTGTCCTTGGGGCTTGTTTTATCTAAAGACTAAAGTCAAATCAAGAAATATTACGCAAATCAGCAAAGAAAACCCCAAAAAGAAACCACATCTAAATACACACATATGCTGGAAACCAAATGAAATGAAATGAGATGAGAAGGATGTGGGAGTTGAACCCAAAACCTAAACAGAACTGAACCTACAGAATGCTTTTAACATTTCGCAAATGTTGCATACTTTCGGGGTTTGTAAGACACTGAGAAAAAATTCAACTAAACTATAAGGGTTTTATAATAAAATAAGAGTAAAATTTTTAAGCTAAAATAATGAGCATGAATTTTATCCTTGTGTAATCTTTTGTATTTTTGTTTCTGGAGTTCTCTAATTTTTTTAGGTGTAGTTTTCCCTGCCAGGGCTGGTATATGCCTGAGTTGCTCTTTGCTAATGGCCTGATGACGCGTCACCGTCGTCCCCTGGGCGGCCTCTGTCTGCGAGTCTTTCGCAAATTATAATTGAGTGCATGGCGAGCACATTGAACTGTGGGACCAAAGGCCCCAAAAGGCAACCCTCAGCCACCACCCACCACCCAGTTTTTAGACACACCACCAACCAAATGATAAATTCAACAGGCCATAATATAAATTATTAAAGCCTGTAGAAGGATATTTTTTATTAGATTCTTAAATAGGATTATCCAAGCTACTAGATATTTATTTAGTTCTAGTCATTATCTTATACTTATGTTAATTTTATATATTTTGAATTCTTTTAAAGAACTTCTTGAAACAAAATCTCAACTACACCCACTTTCTGTGGCCAAATTTTTAAGATTTTCAAGATCCTGCTTTAAGACTCCAACTCATGATTCTGTTTCTTTCAACGTTTGCCACTTGAGACGTTCAGGTTTTTCTCGTTTTGGCCTTGTTTTTCCCCTCCCAGGACCCTCCTTTTGGGCCATAAATTCGTACGCCACATTTTGCCATTTTAATGAATGGTTTTTTTAATGCAATGTTCTTTGGCTCGTTTGGGGATGGAAAGCAACACTCTGGCTGCTTTAATTTATTGACTAATTTAGGAGAGGCCTCTACAAAGCGCCTCTTCAGTAATAGATACTTTTAGGCTCTGCTAAATGGCCAAATGGTTTTTTGCCTTTTTAATTAGACTGTATGTTTGGCAAAGAAAATTTAATTTAATTAGTGCAGATTTCAGGGTGGAGCTCAAGGTCATTCAAGGGGGGGAAGTTGCCTTAATAAGATCATAAAACTCCCATTAATTGGAGCGAGCAAAGTTCGCACCCCGAGGGCCAACAAATTTGTTCTACAAGTGAGTGAACACATGTGTTTATGGCTTTGGTTTTACCCAAAAAAAAAAATAAGAAAAAGAAAACAACCCTTTCTGGAAAATACTGTGGGGTTCCCCTTTAACCTTTTACATTTTTGGGGGAAGTACACTATCAGATACATAGAGATGCTCTGAAAGAAAAGCTATAACAAGACTAGAAAATTTTAAAAAATTCTAAGAATTGGTAAATATATTTGTGGTTTATAAAATCCCTAAATAAATATTTTATTATTATATTTAAATATTAAAAAAAACCCTAAATCTTATCACCTCTGTAAGGAAACCCCAAAAAGTATGCTATGTTTACATTTTATTTCTTGCGTGCCAGATTTTATCTTCCTTCCACGCCATTGCTGATTTTCCCTACTGCCCCCCCTTTTGCGTAGCCCCCCCTTCTTTTAGTTTCCTTTCCAACTGCTCCTTCGGCACCTTTTGTCATCGTTTTCGCCTGCTGTGTGTCCTTCGCGTCCTGGGCGCGATAACAGGCATCATAAATCCTCGGCTCCTTGTAAATGGCACACGGACAGATCCCCCACGCCTACGCCCCTGGGAGTGGCTAAGAGGGGTAGGGGTATGTGTGTTAGTTGTAGGCGGCAGGAACAGCTTCTCTGTTTCGCTTTTGGCCATCGTTTGTTATTGTTTGCGGTTAGTTGGCCGCATTTCCTCTTACCCTCTTTACATATATCACTTGGCAGGCAGGTCAGCTCCCAGGGGGGTGAGGGGGTTGCTTGCTAAAGATTCTTGGTTAGTTTTCCCAAAGTCGCGGTGGGTTTAAGACAATACTTGGAGGTGTTTAGTATATGTTTTTATAAAAATATCTTAACCATTAACTCTCAACTTTCCGATAAAAGTTTCTACAAATATTTTATCTAAAAACCCAAACTCTACCTCCATATTTAAGATACTTTTCAAACTTATCGGTTGAGATTCGTCCTTTACCGTTTTCCTGCCTCCAGCGGCTTAGCGTGAAAATGTTGGAAAAGCGTGGAAAGCGGTGGTTCATTTGACCAACTGGCGTTTTGCAGAGTGTTGGCCACAATTTGCCGGCCAAAAGGGATTAAAAAGTTGTCAGCCGAGGGAGGGGTGGGCTAGGGGGTATACCTTGCATTTATGCGGGTGTTTTTTTTCAAGAGGGGGTGTAGGGTTGGAAAATATGTTGGGGGAGTAGTATCATGTGCAGTATTTGCCTTTGGATGCACTGCAGAAATTTCTCACTTTTGGTCACACTCGGTTGCCGTTACGCTCGGTCTGTTCACACCTTTCTCTTTCACTCTTGCGGTGACGCCATTTGCATTTCAAATTCCGTAGCCCTAGTCTCCCCCTGCCCCCCTCTCATGATGCTGCCCGTCCGGTTAATAAGCCTCAATAGTGATAGGACACTGTTCAAAAATAGGGTTGTCAACGCTTTTAATTAATGCCAAGTACAGTTTCTTATAAATGTGACTGTTAGAGATGACAGGGCTGCATAAATTTCGATAATAAATCGATAACATATTTATAAATATTTTCTGATATTATAACTGTTAAAAAATAGGGTTGTCGGGTTATTGAATCAAGGCCAAGTTGCCGTGTCAAATAATTGTGACAGTTAGAGATGACAGATAATTTCGATAACTTTGATCGATAAAATCTGTTTAAATATTTTCTAAATATTTTTCCCCTTGTGTATTGTTGGGAGGAAAATCCCTAGAACATGCGGCTAATGCAATCTTGACAATCGTTGTCCTGGACAACCGAAAATGAGGCTTGACACTTTTGATTCGGTTTCACTAGACTGCCCCAACTGTCCCCCCCCCTCTCTCCCTTCAACACCCGCATCCCGTTTTTGTCCAAAAATCCGAAAAGCAAAAATTCACCCTAGTCCTGGCGACTCATGGCGAATTTTTGATTTGTCAGGACCTCGGACGTTGTTTGTTCAGCCTAGTATACGAGATGGGTGTGATCTGGGGGGGGGGAAAGCCGGAAAAAGGGGGGAAAGCTGACGGAACGGAGACAATGCCGCCAGAAGGCGAGTTTTTGATGGCTGGAAACGGGTTGAAAAGTTTCAGAAGAGGGGGCGGCAATAAAACCATGTGGTTCCCTAAATCCAAAATCCAAATGGTTGTTTAAAAGCAGCTTAAATTTTGTTCAAATTTAAAGCTGACTTTTAGAAACAAATATTTTTTAAATTTAGAAAAGAAAATAACATTTCAAGCCACTGTTACTGGTTAACAGAGGTGTTGGCTTATTTGAAACGCAATTATGAGTCAAAAGTTAAAGTAACAGGGTAACCAGCAAAAAATAGCGGTGGGAAACTTGGCTAAGCATACGAGCCTGTTCGAACAGCAGCATCGAACTCGAACTCAACCAAAAAACAGTCTTAATAATAAATTATTTTTAATAAAAAACAAATATATTAAATAAAAAGCAATAAACTAAATAATTCCCCTTCATAATATTACCACATTTACCCTAGTTGGCAACAATGTCGAACAGCGAACATGTTGTGTAGTGCTGCCAACTTGGCCATTTCTCCGTCAAATATAGCCATTTTCCGGCCAAAACCAGCGGCCAGCTGATTTAGCCGCAGCCAGAATTGGCGCCTGTTCGAACCGCCAGCAACAAACAGACCATTTTCAATTAGAAACCTTCGTCGGGGATAGACGGTTGTCGCGGACGGAGACTCAGCCAACCGGAATCTTGAAACTGAACGTCTCTCCTGCACGCTCTTCTCGCAACAAGTCGTGGGTGTCGCGCTTAACCGCTGAAAGTGAAAACAAAACGCACCAAACGGAAAATATGTAATTGCAAAATAAAATAAAAAAACGGTATAGCAAAAGCAAAATAAAACGAAATAAAATTGAAAATTTTGGTTTTTTTTAGAAAAAACGCGAAAAGTGCAAGAAAATTAGGAAAATGAAAAGATACATTAGCGAGATAAACGAAATGAAAAGTTATAAATAAATACAATATATGCCATGAGGCGAGGGACGTGATTTTCTTTCTTTGCCTTTCGGTTCGGTCTGGCTGGCCCTCTCGGTCTCTCGAGGAGGAAAGAGGAAACAACAACAAAAAATTCATTCAGCGCACATGTTTTTGTGGCCATTGCTGTGTTGTTGCCTTTGCGGCAGTCTGTAGTTTCCACGCTCGTTTATCCTGCCATCCTTTTTATTGGCCATCCTCGAAATTCTGATTCGATTTTTCCCCCACCACGGGCTCTCTCTTCGACGGCCGCCCTCTCTCTCTGGTAGCATCTCTAGCAGCATCACTCTCAGCTGCTCTGCTTTGTTTGTCTCTTGCTCTTGTTTCTCTGTCTCTGTTTCAGTTTCTGTTTCGTTTTTGAAATAAAATTGTAAATCAGAAAATCAAAAAATGAGAAAAAGTGCGAAACCAGAAGAGAACCGTGTGTGTGCCAGATGATGAATTTCGTTTCATAAGAAATCGCCGACAAAGTGCAGTCGCGCCGAAAAAGTATCTGAGGGATGCGTAGTAGCAGTATCTCAAACAATCGAACGGCACTGTTGTGTTGTGGTGTTTGTGTGTAAAATTCATAAATAAATCGAGAAAAATTCGAAGAAAATTGTATAAATAAAGAAAAACTTAACTGTAAAACGAGGGGGAAGAAAAACGCCTATAAATTGCAGTCTGTCTGATGATTCTCCCCCCCCTCCCCCTATTCTGGCCATTCTCGCCATCTTCGCATCTCTTCTTTGGACCCGCGTTTGCGCCGTCTTTTTTTGCGCATTTCGCTTTGGCAAGCTGTTTGGGTTCTGTTTTCGTTTCAAAAATTAAAACATCCATCCCATAGGGAGTCCGAGTGAGTTCCGAGTTCTGAGTTCTCTTCGAGGCCTCTGCTGTTTTTCATTTTTCCCCAGGAGAATAAAACCAAAAAAACGAAAAAACCAAAAATAGCAAAAAGCAACCCCTAAAAACAACAAACAAGAACAAGAATTTGTACTTTGTGTTTTGCATCATCTATCCCTTTTGCTCGCCAACGCGCCATCTCGCTCCCTCGCACGTGCGACATTGAAAAATTGTTTTTGTGGCAGAAAAAAAATAATAGTTTTGTACCGTGTACCGTGTAAAAGCTAAATCGTGTTTCAATATTATATATATTTATATGTTTTCCCCCCCTAAAGAAATCTTCAAGGAGAAACAAGAGAAAATTTTGTGCCAAAAATTATCAAAAAATAAAAATATAAAAAGTATCTTTTTATAAACAAATGAGATATTTGCAAAAGTGAACTACCCCGGTGATAGTGTGGACCTTTAGAGCCACCCCTCTGCTAGTACACGCAGCGAAATAGTCGAGTGCATCCAACACCGAAAGGAAAAGGAGTAAAAATACAATTTCGCGACGCCATTGTGAAGAGAAAAAGCCGTCAAACTGTGGGGCTCAGGGGCATTTTTTCTTCCTCCGCAAGGAATGTATTATCCGGTAAGCAAAGTTCACTGAAAAAAAAAAAACCAAAAAAGCCATTAAAGCCAAACCAACAAAGCCAAACACGGCGATTCGTAAATATCACAGGCAAACATCAATAAAAACGCAAGCTTGGGCTCTATTTGCGGTTTTGTTTGCTCTCACCGATTGTGATTGTAGTTGTTGTTGTTGTTGGAGAGGTACTTTCCAGTAGCCGATTACTAGCTACAGTGATAACTCGTTAAGGAAGCTTAGAGAAGGTGCTGAGAATTAGGGGTTACTTGAAATAGATACTCGGAAGTGTCTAAACATCTCTAGAAATGTTGAAATTTTTGTGGTTTATATTTATTTTTAAACTAGTAATACTTATTTTATTGTTTACTTTGTACTTATATACTTATTATATGCTTTATAGGTATACAGATATATACTTATTTTAAGAATAGTATCTGTAGTAGTGTCTTAAGATTCTTAGGAAACAATAAGATAGAACAGGATTTAGGAAGAGAAGCTTGGAAATTAAACGTCCAATAGGAATATATCAATATACTATATAGGAATATATAATATTCCTGTTGAATATAGGAATAATAATTTTAATAATATAAAAATTATATAATTCTGGGTCTTAAAAAGACTATAAAGCCTTAAAATTTACATGAATTTCTTGATGAATCATTCAATAACTGCTTTTTGTACTAATTTTAAATGGCTTATCTTAAACATTCTTTAATCATAAAATAAAATAAATGTTCTTATTAAAAAAAGAGAACAAAATATAAGTTTTCTAGAGAGAACTGTAATTATATAGCGAACTATTAGAGTTCTATTAGAGGGAAATGTTAGTTCTCTGAAGAACTCAAAAAGTTATTCTCCAAAAAATTCCCTGAAAAAAATATCAAAAAATATTTAATTTTCTAAAGAACTCAAAAGAACTAGACTGGAAGTTCGAACTCTATCACTATTTTCTCTAAGTTTCCATCTACAAGTCATTATATTAAATTACTGGTACTTACCTTTATCTCTATTCCCCAAATAAAATTATAGCAAATATATCTCAAAATATTTCTCTAAAAACCTGGACTACAACACTCCATCACTTTTCCCTCTTAAGGGGCATCCACTGTTTACTTTTTCTTTCTTTAAGTTCGAGATTCTGAAAGCGAGACCGACTACTATTTTGTGTGTCTAACTCTCGATTTAAGAGGAACTGGAAGCCGTGCTAAAATCCTTATTAGTCAAGCGCCATGTCTACTGGGCCTCAGTGGCCCGTCTCTGTTTGTTTACCTATTTGCTTAGACGACAAACAGCAAATAATGTCAAATGTTGTAGTCACACGTGTGAGAGAGATTCCCCCCAAAGCATGGAAAGCAAAAAAAAAAAGCAACCAATTGTTGACTTTGTCTTCGTTTTCATTTTTTTTTATGCGGGTCTGTTATTGTTTGTCTTTGGATCTAGATATGGTGGTAATAGAGAGGAGAGTTCGGGGTGGGGTAATTTGATAGCCAAAACCAAAAAATGCGGGTCGAATTTGCGGCTTTTTGGATTTCGGATTTTGGCCAAAACTCCAACTCAGACTGGGGTTCAGATTCCACTTGACTCTCGGCCCTTGAGTGTCTCTTTTTCTCATTAAATATAACAATATATTCTTAACGCATTATATAATTATCTGACAGTGGCGTATAAATGAGACCCAATTTATTGCCTGTTCATACGATATCCACGATGTGTTAACAAGAACTCATTCTTTTACCCCCGAAATCTTTAGCATTTTTTTCCCACGTCTACGAATAAATTTCAACTTTTATTAATTTATTTTCGGGCCGGGCTTTGCAGGTATCTTTGATATGCTAATAGAATGGCTAAAAAAAAACTACTTAACTCTGTCTTTATTGATAAGGAAGTTGTTCTGTAGAACTGATTTTGATGAATGGCCTTAGAAGTTCTATAAAATGGCCTTCAAGAGAGGTTCTAAACTGCTCTAGTTCCTGGTGTTTCCCATCATTTTTAGTCATCTTTCAATGTCATCATCAACGCCTTCCAATCGCAATTAAAAGTTGGTCTGGCTGTCATGGTAGTAACCTACATATACTTTCCAAGTGTAGAAATATTTTATTTAAAAAAAAAATCAACTAAAATTGTGTCCCCCATTAAGTGAAACCTTCCTGGCCTGGTGCGGGGCTGGTGCGGATTCAATTGAAAAATTGCACATAAATTGCATAAAACTGTTATACGACGACCACTAACTGGCATAAATCGTTTCTCAGATGTGGTTTCAAGTGGGTTTTCCGTGATGGAGCGAGGAGAGATCCGAGGAAGTCCATTGTGCGTGTTCACTAAACCGCAAAGTTTGGGCCAAGATTTCAGTTTTTTACTTAGAGGTTTTAAAATCTTAAAAATTTGCTAAAAAATTATATAATTATTGCATCTCTGTATCTTGAATCTCTTTATAGCTCTTGTATCTTGATGTCTGCTATTAATTATGTTTATTTTTATTGGCCAGCTTTGAAGGTTGTTTGATGGCTAAAATTACTTTCTCTTCAATTAGCTCTTGTTTATGGTCTTATATATATATTTTTTGTGGGCATTTCCTTAGTAGATTTTTCATTTTTCCATTAACGGAGAGTGGTCATCAATTGTCCAGAAGAGTCCATTCCCCAGGTTCTCTGTCATATTTTTCAATTTCCAGCCATTGATTGATGGTTGTATTTTTTTTTTTTTTTGAGGGTGGACTGTAGAAGAAGATATATGGGGGCCGTCAAGAACGTATATAAGGCCCGCATCTAATTGAGCCTATTTCCATTTCCAGGCCAGAGATGATATGACAATTTATTTCAATTAAAGTTGATTTACAAAATTGCCAGACTTATTCAAATGGCCCTCAACAGTCTCTCTTGAATTATATAAAAATGTGGGTTTCCTTTTACTTTTTAATTAGTATCTTAAAGATACCTTTTAAGATCTAATTTTAAGATACTCCCTTTGCGTAATGTCTCTGGAATTTGAAATGCATTTAAATGCAAATTAATTTGCAATTTCGAAGCATTTTAATTCAGCTTAACTCGCTATCACATAGGTAGGTGCTGCTGTTGAAAATCAATTAAGCTCATTGGGGGGATAATCGTTAAAAAAATGCTCTTAAAAATCCATGTACCAGTTTGCACTTTTTTTTTTTTAAGATAAATAAAACATCAAACAAAATTAAAACACAAATGCTAATTGAGGCTGTAACCGACAAGTTCACAGCTTCAGATGAAAAAGAGCCAAGAGATAAACAAATCCCCATGTGAATGACCCGAAACACCTACTATACCGACCGAGTAAAACGTTTAAGCCAAAGCTCATGCAAATTATTCGGTTCACCGACGCTAATCGCAGGTGTCACTCACACGAAGACCCCCCCTCAGCTTCTCTCGGGCCCCCATCGCCAATTAGCCAGATCGTCGTCGCACGCCAGATTCAGTTTTTATGACTCAGCGGACTCTATAAAGTTGGTCGAAAAAAAAAAAGTGTAACTGGTTTGTAGTGTTGCATTGTGGCCAAAAAGTAACGGTATCTGTAGCAGCCAGTCTAGCGCTTGTAGATTGATTTCATAATATTTTCAGTATTCGGTCGAGTGGGCCGATCAAGTTCAGTTTTCAGGTGAGAATCGGCAAGTGGGGGCTTTTTCTTGGGGGGTCTGGGGGTTTCTAAAAAAAATAAGAGAAAAAAGGGGGATATAGACCTATATTTTTTACGAGGATTATTTTTAATATAAACCCTTATTTTAGGTATTTAATGCTTAGTAGTACCTATAAGCCTCTTGTAGGTTCTTTTAGAAATAAGACAGAAATAAAGTTATTTTTAAGTTTAATTTTAGTATTAATAACCCCTTAACCCTTAACTCTTAGCAATTAATCCCCCCTTTGTTTATTAATTAGCTTCACATTTAACCTCACTTTTGTGCCGTTAGTCGTGAAATTACTCAACTCAACAACCGTTCAATGGTTTTCACTCCATTTCTCGGCTCCCTTCAATTGCCGTTTGTTTTCATTCATTAGCGCCAGTTGTAGTGCATCCATCAGTTCTGCTCTTTTGCCTTCTCTTTCTTCCTGGGCTAGTCCCATCTCTTTCTATTTCCCAGCTATTTGTTACGCCCCCACGTGCTCGCCTTTGATCGCCGCTGCCACAGTCGACAAATTTTTATTGTCGCCTCGAGTCGCGATCTCGGGTTTTGTTTTGTTTTTTTTTTTATTTATGCCAGCCGGCTTTTGTTTTTATTTATCTCTATCTTTGTTCTCTTTTCTTCTCTTAATTCGTTGGATATATTTTATAAAGAATATACATATATTTTTGTTGCGTCTATCTTTTTTCTATTTTTTTCGGTGGTCAACGCTACTAAATTTACATTTTATAAACGGGATTTTATGGTAGGCATGTTGCTTCTGCATATATAATTTTGTTTCCAAGCATTTTTCACAAAAAAAAATAAAAAAAAAAATCATTGGCTATTCAGTAAACAAACAAAAAAATTTGACAAAGTTGAGTCAAGTACGGTGCGGGTCATAACTTTAGGTGATGGGCTATATTATACATTGGATTAATTTTAAAAAGTTGCTATATACTTTTAAGATAAAAAAGAGGAAAGTTAAATGTAACTTTCTATTAAAAGATATATGTACTTTAATGGCTTTGTAAAAAATAAAAAATGCAAGGTGCTTTTCATATAAAAAAATCTGGTATTTAAACAATTAAAAACAAATGAAACATTAAAATTTGGAACATGCCTGAAAATAACATTTAAAGTTGAAGATTGTATGCTAACACTTTAGTGCAGGACTGTATTTACATGGATATATGTATGTACATATATTCATTATTGAAAATATCGGACATAGTTGGCCCATACTTATAGGAATTAGAGTATTAGACAACTACTTTGTATAATATGAATTTTGAAAAAATTTCCAACTTCTATTTATCCTATCCAACTATTTTTATCAACTTCTATCCAACTATCTTCACAGTCATGAATGTTA